ATATATATATATATATATATATATACACACACATATATACATATATATATATATATATATATACACACATATATATATAGATATATACTGTATATGTAAATGGTTCAATAATATAACTCATATCCTTTACAATCATCGTGCCCATGTCCATCCAGTCTTTTGATCTTTTATCTGCAAGATTTTTTTACAGTACTCAGTATTTCTTCTTTATCAGTGTCCCCCGAGAAAAATGCTGTTGGCACAACCCATGACTGTTTGACTCACATTTACATTTGGTATTTTAGCTGCAAGACTTGGGCCAACATTCACATAATATTCATTGAATTAATTTACTATTTTATTTTGATCATAGATTTTCTTGTTATCTTTTACAAAATACTGTGAATTACCTGATCGTACTTTATTATTTTTCAAAACACTATTCATTACTGCCCTTGTTGCTTTCATACCACCCTTACTTTTGTTTAGTAAGTCACTATAATATTCCTTTTTATGTTTTCTTAAAATCCATACCAGTTTGATCTTATATTTCTTGTATCTCTCTTCTGCTTCTTTTGTTCTTAATTTTAAGAAACATGAGTACAAGTAATTATTATTATTTATTTTTTAGCATTTTTTACAGCCATAGATTCTTGTGACTGCAGGTTACATCGGACCTGAGCTGGTCTCTCAACACCACAGCCACGGTGAAAAAAACCCAGCAAAGGCTTGAGTTCATTAAAAGAGGACTGATAGAGAGTATCCTAACCGCAGGCATCACCGTCTGGTATGGCCACACCACACAAGCAGAAAGGAAGGCACTGCAAAGAGTCATAAAGACTGTGGAGAGGATCACAGGGACAAAACTTCCTCCCATGGACTCAATGTATGTGCAGTGTCTCGCTCCATCCAGCTCACTCTTATCAGACACAAAACATATTCATATAACCTGAGACACAGTAGAGCAGATAGCATCATCATCACCCATAGTACTAGGTTTGTTTTTTTTTTTGTTTGCTTTGTTTTTTTTCCTTGCCACAGTCAGACTGATGCCAAAGCTACCCACTATTCACTGGTTAACTGGACATCATTAACCTCACGCAGACTCTCTCACTGGTACATTTTCATCTTTAAATCACTTCTTGGTCTGCTGCCTTCATACATCTCCTCCTACATGTCTCTGCGTGAGTGCAGCTACAGCGTGCGCTCTCAGGACATTATTACCTGCAGTGTTCCATCAGTGAGGACTGAGCTGAGCAAAAGGGCCTTCTCCTACTCCGCTCCTGTTTCCTGGAATATCTTACAAAAAGATCTGAAGCTCTCGACCTTGACCTCTCTAAGTGTCTTTAAGAATCTGCTGGACTCCTGGCAGGGACCAATGCAGACATGTTCCTGTTTTTAGTTTTCTACATTCACATTATAATCTAGCTGTTTTTTGTTACTTTTTTTGCCATCTTATTTGTAAAAAAATAAAATAAAATCTGTATGCCTTTTTTGTGGCTGTCCATTGTTGTCCTCATTCTTTGTTGAAATCAGGTCTCTCTTGTAAATGAGTCCTCGAGGCTCAATGGGATTCACCTGTCTAAATAAAGGTTGAATGAAAAAACAACCTAATGGTCAGGTGCGATAATAACCCCACAGTACCTAACTTCACTGGTCATGTGACATGGTTTACTTTCTGTACAGTGGAGATAGAAACCACTTTGTTTTTGTTTTTATTTAATTTAAAGTTCTTTCAGTGTTTTTTACTATGACTGAGAGAGCTCTGCACAAGAATTCAGAAGTGTCTGGTTGGTCTGCACACAAATGACAAATAAAGAACTTTGACTGTGTTTGGGTGTTTGAGGTGTGCTTTGCTTCTTGAATTAAAACTTTATCTTTTGCATTTGAACAACATAAATTGTGCTAAATGTGCATCTTATCTCAATTTTTTTAAAGGAATTATTCCTCTCATAAAGTGAAGCTGAAACAGACCTGTCGTTCTATTTACTCTTGGAAAAACTCAACTTCCTGCACAGACTGGAGCAGCAGACAGCAATCATAAACAGAATGTGATTCATTTAACACCTTCGTGGTTACATTAAGTATTCTAACGGGTTTAAGCTGAATACATCAGTTAGATAGCTGATTTAAAACTACAGCAGCTGGAAAATATTTAATTTTAATCCAGATGTGGTTCATTTTCTCCTTGATAGAAAAGAACCAGCAGACCAATGATGATAAACGTATTAAACATGTGTTGTGCTGTCTAAATGACTCGGTGGATTCCCGTGTTAAATAGCTTGGTCTGGTTCTCTGACACAAGTTTTTAAAAAGTTTCTCTTTTTATTGTGAAAATAACCATATGTTTACAGACCAAAAACCAAAAGGTTTTAAATTATTTGCTTTAGTATCAGTAAGCACTTATAATGCATCTGCTGAATATTACACAATTTTTCATTATATAAGTACATAAATGGTGTTTTGTCTCAAATTAAAGATCAGGAAAAATACAATTGTTATTATGATATATTTAATATTATTTGACATAATTACCCATTTTTTCAGTTTTTAATAGAATTTTAAACACAGATTCATTTTTTTTTCTCTATGTGTAATATAGAGTGTAGAACAGCAACATTTTCTTTCATAATGTCCCACAGATGTCCCTTGCATGTGCTGTCCCACAGATGTCCCTTGCATGTGCTGTCCCACAGATGTCCCTTGCATGTGCTGTCCCACAGATGTCCCTTGCATGTGCAGTCAGCGGTGCCATCTTCTGTCATGTTCTGCACTGATGCTGCTCATACAGATGTTGCAGGCGTTTGGTTTGCTCACCTCGTCTTACCTGGTGTTGTCCAGGTTACACCAGATAATGACAGATGAGGACAATTTGAACATTAGCCAATCAAGACCACATGTCCCATCACATGTTAAAACTTAAACAATAATAAATTAACAGCTTTCTCATTTTCACTTAATTGTTTTGAGCTTAAATGACAAATGTCTCTTCTCTTCACAAAAAGCTAAAGCTCCCTGGGATCCTGAGCAAATTGCTCTTACAGGAGATCCAGGTTGTGAGGTACAGCAGTAAAACAAAGCCAGATGTGTGTGTGTGTGCGTGCTTGGACAAAATATCCTATGACATTATGTCACTAGTTTTAGATGATTAACGTTTGAAAGTAAAAACACAAATAACTATAACTGTCTATTTATTTTCACATATTTAACTTAAATTGGTGGCACGGTGGCTCAGTTGGTAGAGGTGTTGCCTCTCAGCGAGAAGGTAGACGGTTCAAATCTCAGCCAGGGACTTTAGGTGGAGTTTGCATGTTCTCTCTGTGTTGCGTGGGTTTTCTCCAGGTACTCCGGTTTCCTCCCACAGACCAAAAACATGCATGTTAGGCTGATTGGTAACTCTAAATTGTTCCTAGGTGTGAGAGAGTGAATGGTTGTTTGTCTCGTTTGTCTCTATGTGTCCCTGTGATGGACTGGAGACCTGTCCAGGTGTCCCCCACCTCTTGCACAGTGACTGTTGGATATTGACACCAGTAACACCCGTGATCCGTAAAGGAAGAAGCGGGTGAAGACCACGGATGGATGGATGTTTAACTGAAATTGGTTGTGGTCGTAGCAGGGGCTGGTCCTCATCCCATATTCTAAGCCACAAATGTACAACTAAAGAGCTGCTGTTTATAACTTTCCCATCGACTGTTTGTCAAGTCTGCCTGTTAGCAGAATATTTCATCAGCAAATGCACAGATTTTAATTAAACTCCCTGAAAGTAGTCATTGTACTGGGTGGGGCCACTGTGGTGTAGAGGAAGCTGGCTTGTGACCAGAACATCACAGGTTCAACTTCCTTCCATTCCCGCATGTCATGTCTCTGAGCAAGACACCTAATCCCTAATTGCTCCCCAGGTGCTTACATAATTGCCCACTGCTCCACTTGGGTGCATCCCACATGTGATGGGTGAAATGCAGAGAACTAATTTCATCATTGTATGAGAACATACAATGATGACAGCACACAACACTTTACAACTGATACACTTTTTGAAACAATCCATTTTATGACCATCAGCTAAATGACCATAGAAACACAAAATGAGCTTCAAGTTGATTTCAACAATATTGAGATAAATTTGGGGGAAGTAGCAGTTGAGTCATTTTCAACACATACTATGTGATTGTGCCATTTGTTATTTTCAACGTTTGACCAAATCTGCTTTAATCCCTTTGTTTTTCTAATTTGTTTATGTGCTCCTTTAATATTTTGTCTTGTAGATGAAATTACAAACACCTTTACATTTAGACATGTTCATATAGGCCACTATTAGTCTGCTCTGACTGTAAGTCAACTGGTTATGAGACGTTTCACTACTCTTGGGATCAGTTTTAAAAGCTTCAATATTTTTTGTTCACATTTTCCACTTTAACATTTTTTTTTAAATCAGGACTGTGTTTAAAAATTTATAATTTATAAGTTTGACAATTTTTCTTTGTGTTCTACATTAACAAACAGATGACAACCTAGGCTTCACAGTTGTAGAGGACTTGAGCCCAGGAATACAGATCTGATACCAGGAGCTAAAAACAGAAAAACAAAACTTAAATAGTTATAAATAAAATTTAAAAAAGGCTGACACGGCAGCAGAACAGCACATTGAGAGTAGGCACAAAGAAGAAGTTTTTCAGCGTTTACTTTTGAGTCAAATATGATTCAGACAAATAGAAATAGGTCCACTTATTTTCAGAAATATTCCATTTTAACAGTACAGTTCCACTAACCACCGCTCCCTCCTCCATCCAACGCTCTGTCAGAGACAAGAGGAAGGAAGTGGTCCTGTTCGGTGATGAGTCGGCCCTATGTGACTCACACACCGCCACTGACCCGTGCTGCAACCTGACAAGCTCACAGTGCGTCTTAACTGGCCCTGTGGCACAACGCTACGCCAGCCCAACGGGAAGCTGCCTCCTGACGCTCGCTGACAGCCGCAGACCGGTCAGCCATGAAAAAGAAAGAATGCAGTCCATACATGGGCATGGATGGAGCCATTACGAGCTCCTGCTGAACATCAACACAGATGCAGTCAGTCTGGGTCAATCAAGTAAATCACAATACTTGAATGAATGTGACACAGAAAGATGCTTTTGGTGAGAAATATCAGGGCTGCAACAAAAATGTAGAAGAACTAGGGATAAAAGATCAGAAGAACTGCTATGGACAACAAGAAGACAGCTGAAGATGTAGTTGTTTTATTGCACAATTAACACAGATGATTATCAAGTCGTAATATGGTTTTATTATGAATGTCTTAACATAAAAATCAGACAAGACTCGTTTTAAATCTTTAAAAGAACAGTGGATTACATAAGATTTATGTCAGAGAAAACCTGATTTTCATCAGCTGAGTGGGCTCTGTTGACCTGTGAACGGAGCCGAGCCGACCTAAAAACCAGACACAGTTAAAAAAAAAAAAAATAGAGAACATTGACACACACCCCCTCCCCCCACCAATAAATTGTATAATGAGTTATTGACTGTCACATGTTTAAAGTGTAAGAACTGCTCAGGGTCAGCTTGTCTGTGAAAATGAAGTTGTTTATCCTTTGGTTTGTCTCAGGGCTGAACTGCAAACACCGCTGGACATTTACAGACTTTCATGTTCTCAGTCGGTTCTTCACACAGAAATGACTTTGCCTTCATAAGGCTTTCTGATCACAGCTGTAGGTCTCCCCACCTGCCAGAACACAAAGTCAGAGAAAGGTTAGACCGGCTTTATTGTGCGGTACAGTGAGGTAAAGAACTGTAACCTCATCAAATCTGCTTTCTTCAACAAATTAGGTCATTTTAAATTTCATGGCAGCAACACATCTAAAATATTAGTCCCGTGTTTGTCCCTGTGAAGCACCCCCTCTTTTTATAATTATCCTTAAAGAAAAACAGTTTCTTAATTTAAACATTGATATGTTCACTATATTCTATTGTAAATAAATAGTAGGACATAATTTCATTTTGTTTTTATTTACATATTACACAACTTCCCAACGTCTTTAGAACTGGGGTTGTAAATTACCAATTGTCAATTCTTTGTGCATTCAATTAATCATATTTGCAAACTACAATTCACTCATTTTTAATCTTGTTTGAAGGTGACGATGCAACAAAATTTCATAAAAACAATAATCAATAATTATTCTTCTCTCCTTCAGCAAAGATCAAATTTAAGAATATTTGAGTGTAAATAAGAGTGAACAGCTACAACTATGAAGGTTGCCTCACCTGGTCTCTTTGCTTAATTCTTTTATAAACAAACTCTGAGAACGGTTGTCTGTGGATGAACCTGCCATGTCCCGGTGACACCTGCAGCTGCCCCTCTTCATAAACCACTTTACCCCTGGAGATGGTGACAACAGGGACTCCATGGCACTCCATGCCCTCAAAGATGTTGTAGTCCACGGCTTGGTGGTGGGTCTTGGCTGATATCCTCCTACAATGTTACAAATAACAATCATTATTTTAACTTGTATTTTTGGTTACATTCAACACCTGTGAAGAAGTAAATCATAAACAGAATAAAGCAAGAACTATTACCACGTATCATTGTTAATGCACAAAGCATTAGGCTTCTTTAGGTCACTTAAAACACTGAGTGCTTCTTTTTACATTATTGTAATGCCATCCTTTCAAATTCTGTCACAACAAGTGTCAGAACCAACCAACCAACCAACACACCAACCAACCAACCAAAACACGAGCCAACACACCAACCAACCAACCAACCAACCAAAACACCAGCCAACACACCAACATGCCAATCAACCCATTAACCAACAAACCAGCTCATCAACCAACCAACCAAACAACACACCCACCAACACTCCAACCAACCACCACCCAACATACCAATCAACAAATCAACCAACCCACCAACTAACCCACCAACACACTAACCAACCAACACACCAACCAACCAACCCACCCATCAACCAACCAACAAATCCACCAACACACCATTCATCCATACATCCAGGCTTCTTTCTCCAGAGACAATCTCCAATTTCTCCTGTGGGATTTCAAAGCCTTCTCAAGCCAGAGAGGATATAAATGGTAAATGGACTGTACTTATACAGCACCTTTCTATTTTATCAAGACACTCAAAGCTCTTTACAACATAATCTGTGCCTCATTTACTCATTCATACAGCACTCTACTAGATCTCTACAAAGCTAATTGAACAAATCATTCTAAAGAGACTAATCAGAGCTTAATCACATTCATACACTGATGAGACACACATCGGAGGCAATGAGGGGTTCAGTGTCTTGCCCAGGGACTCTTGGGCATGTGACTGCTGGTGGATTCGAACCCCCAACTCTTACATTGGAGGACGACTGCTCTAACCACTCAGCCACAGCTGCCCACCACTATACGATCACTCCAGCTAGTTCTGGGTCTGCCCTGGGGTTTCTGCCCAATTGGACTTGACCATGAAAACCTCTACAGGTTGGTAGGTACCCAGGTAAATTTTTATTTAAATCCCCAAACCACCTCAGGTGACTGTTTTTGACGTGGAAGATCAGTGACTATTTCACACTCCCCTGGATGATAAAGCACCTCATTTGATCTCTAAGGCTGAGCCTGGTCACCCTTTGGAGGCAGCTAGATTCAGCAGTTTGTTCCTGGGATCTTGTTTTTGCCATGACCTATGACCTCATGACTAGATGAGGGTTGGAACCAAGACAGACCAGTAAATCCAGAATTTAGCCTTTTGGCTCAGCTCCTTCTTCACAACAACAGACTGGAGTACTGCCCTCATTATGGCCATTGCTCTATACTATTATTACTGTCAACAAGACTCCCAGATACTTGAACTCTTCCCTTTGAGGTGGAGACTCATTTCCAACACAGAGACAAGCCACATTTACAACTTGCTACTAAAAAGAACAACAATTAATATGGCAAGAACAAACCATTTAACAAATCTAAATAAACTATGTTCATACCATGCTAACTTGTATCTATTTATGTCTTTCAAACAAATGCTATGGTGCTTTTATGGATGTGGATTTTTCATGCACTTTTAGTGATAATTTGACATAGAAACTGTGAATGTTGAACTGAAATACAGTGGGCCTACGACAGTTTTTATTGCCCACCACCATTAAAGACAGGCACATGTGTGTGTTCAAATGCGAGAATTTTTTAAGCTAAAATCTGGTGTTGCTGGGAGTCATCGTAAAGATCCTTTTGAGCACTAACAGATCAAGATGCAAAGTGAGATGCATTGCTTAAAAGAATGCCAGTTTTAATCTTTTTAGCTTATAGTAAATAAATGTAACACAGATTAACATCACAAGTGACCTCTGTCTTTGCAGCAGGTAAATTTAGTGCCCTGATCAAATAAAACAAGGGTGGCTAAATTGTGTGTCTGCCACTGTGTGTTGTGCTGTGGGCTTTTGGAGCTGTATCAACATGACGTGTTCACCTAATGGCTTAAAAATAATTTTAAAAGCTTACACCAACTTTAAATGTTAGAAAATTAAACAAAAAAGTGATGTAAAGCATACAAAACTTCTTAGTGTGACCGTGTGAACAACCTCTGTGCTTCTTTTCTACTTGATGCTATGTTTTTAAGAACAATCTTGTGATGTTGACTTTCTGTAAAATTAAGAAAATCCTTCCCTAGTCAACACACTGCACAAGGACTGATGATGCTGAACAAATAAATCACATCTGAATGAAAGATCATAAAGGAAACATAAGACTTCTTTAAAAAACACAATTTAAATTTGCCCCTCTTGTTGGGTTTCCAGACGCATTTTCTGTTGATTTGCAAAGCCAGATATTACACCAAGTGTGTGCAAAAACGAGAGGCGTCTTCATCATTCAAGTAACCCAATTATGAGGAATAAGACAACTGCGTGATTTGGTTACGCAACTGTTTGTTGTCCCTGGTCCCGGATGTTATGAGAAGACACTTGCCCCGGGGGTGATTAATTACGCAGTTTCACAGATGAATTCATGGCTGCTGCAGTAAAACATGAGGCAGAAACCCACTGACATCTGCAGACATGCACTGAGGATCCGAAGAGAACACAGACAAGCAAGAGAAAACAAGCAAGGTCCGAGGATTACAGGCCTGAGGAGACAAATACGCTCCCAGGCCACTCACATAAGCTTAAGCATGTAACCAGTGAACTCATTTACAGCAAATTATACTGAGGTTTAATGTATTCTTCTCCAATTCACATGAGCCGTTAGTGATCTCCCAGAGGGACCCAGTCAAGATCCCAGAGAAAGCCGAGCTGTGCGTTCTCAGTTATATAAGCCTGACTGTGCTACAAATCATATACAACTGAACGCAAACGGTCCTCTTTGTGTCTGCATCTGCAAACGAATCAGACGAGTCTGCTGCACACCGAGACTCCAGAAAATCAATCAGAAAGCAAACAGAACCTAACACACCATCTTTTTCATCATACAGAGGTGTGATATCCTAAGCCGGTTACTAAAAATAATAACTTTAAGACAGATTGTTCTGTGCTATGAATATCGGTTTGCCTCCCACATGAAATACTTGTCAGTTTTAGGATCCTCACAGCAACCAATCAGCTTACCGATGCAGCAAGCTTATACAAGTGGGTTAAAATCTTTACCTAAAATAATCTATTTTTTAAAAATCACTAAACATAGACAAGTATGACTCCTCTCCACAGTGGGTTGCCAGGTGTCGAATGCACATGTAAATTATGTTGTGCATTCATTCGCAGCTGCTGATAAGTGATGACATCCAGACTTTTGGACGGGGCTCAGACGTAATCAGCTTACGTGGCGTGATGAGGTGGATCAACATGAAACATATCAGGTCTTATTTTAGGTTGGCTGCATTTCTGTCTTTCTACAGTGAAATTTATAAAACCGTATCTTGTTGAACCTGACGTTTGTCACCCTGAAGACATGCTTTCAAGTTTGTCTCAACAGCACCATGTGCGACTGCGTGGGAAATGGCTTAATTGTCTGACTTTACACCTCCGTTTTAAAAACTTCTTCTCATGCTGCTGAATGACTGGAATTAAAGTCCTCACCTTGTCATCTTGTGGTCCCATATAACCACATCAGCATCAGAGTTTTTGGCAATGCGACCCTTTTGCGGATAGAAGTTGAAAATTTTTGCTGCGTTGCTGCTTGTGACGGCTACAAATCGATTCTCGTCCATTTTGCCGCTGTGCTGAGGACAGAAAAACACAAAAAAATCTTTCTTTACTTTATGTGTTAAAAAAATCATGTATGGCCAGTGCTCCACTATCCAGCAGGGAACTTAAATGTGATGAAATTGTACCTAACGTGTAATTTTTGAGCCCAGAAACTTGTATTTTCCCTAAATCAACACATCAGTGTAAATATTTAAATAAGTAAATGCAAGCTGGACATTTAGCTTCAAGACAAGTTAGTTGAGGGAACAAAAATAAGTCAATAAGGTGTTTTGTTCATTTATCATAAATGTTTTGTTTGTTTAAATAAGCTTTAAGTCAATCAAACTATCATATTTGGCTTCCAGCAAAGTGACCTAATTAGAGCCTAATCATTTTAAATGACTGTTTTATTCCTGAAAAGACCTCTTATCACTGTGAGAATTGTCACCCTAAGATGCACATTCATACAAAAATAAGCTTTAAAAACAATAAATTGAGCTGTAACTTGATTTTTTGCATTGTTTTGTTTTCACCTATGGCAAAGTACAGTATGTTTGTTAGTCTAAGTTTGTATTTTATTCAAATGTCAGTAATTATTGAACGTCTACAACTGATTGCTTGAACTGGATTGACACCAAAAGTCAGACCAAAACAGACCTTAACACACACTATGGAAACTTACAACTTTGGGATTACCTATAAAAATTAGAGTCTGACTGATATATCGGTAGGTCTGATATTTTAGGCCGATATAGACGTTTGAGGACCTATCAGGGATAATTGTACAATTATGCGCTGATACAAACACTTCCAGCTCCTAAAATGCTGGAAGCAGCCAGAATTGTACAATGTATCCAGCAGGGGGCGCAAAAAGACTACTTTCAAGTCACAGCCGTTCACTTAAGTTTCACTTTCACATTCAGCACAGACAATGCAAGGAGCAATACTGTGTAGCACATTTTGCTGAACAGAGCATGGTAAGTTTATTTAACATCTGTAAAATAAAAAAAAATCAACAATAATAAATTCACTTCAATCCTCCAACCCACTTGTCATTAGCTACGTGCCTCTCAAGTTAGCAAGCTAACATTTATATAGCCTAGCATAGGCTGTTTCCTTTTAAAACTTTATCCAGAACAATAAATCTAACATAGAGGTAAAATAGATCAGTGTTAGTAACGTTATCTTTGTCGTCCTCAATGAAATGCATTGTTTGTCTGAAATCTTGACTTCCCTGAAAAAAAAAAAACAAAAAAAAACGCTGTTGCAGTCAATACTAATTAGACCTTCACCATACATGACTGACTAAACAATGAACAAGGAAGGGTGTTTCTTTGTTTAATTTGTAGTTTTGTAACACACTTGATAACTTTATGGTGAACAGTGAAGGACAGAAAATGTGAACACACATTAGGAAGCCTGTATTTATGACCAGTGCACCACTTGTAAACCTACTGTGGAACTATAGCATGGATCTAGTTAGCTTAACTTCATGGTTGTGTAGTAGAAATTTTCCCATAAACAATTAAGACACGTGAGAGTTTTATCTGGGATATTTATCTACAGCTGAGGGTCGCACAGCTAAAAAAGAGTCAGCAGAGTGAGTCTGCCCTATCAAAAGGCAGGCTGTTATTTATAATATGGTTACTTATTCAACAACTTTGACAGAACGTTAGAAGAAAATATGTTTTCTACTGATAGAGGAACAAAAACCTTGAGGGTGAAGGGTGCAGTGAACATTCCTTACCATTACACAGCAAAAGTAAACAAACAAGTCTGAAGACTTCTCAACTTGACATCAGTAAAACATTAATGTGAATATGAGAAAATAAATTTATTATCAAATGAGCAAAGCGATATGTCTTTATATTTAAATTTTTCTCTCCACACTCGGAGTTGGGGAGTGGTGGTGCAGAGGTTAGAGAAGGTGGGCCTGTAATCGGAAGAGCGTCGGTTCAAGCCCTGGTACTGACAACATCAAAAATGTGAGTGGGGTAGGTGAAGCACCCACACCTGACCCCACCCTCATTCCTCCCACTCTGGGCCCTTGAGCAAGGCCCTTAACCCTCACCATCTGCTCTTCCGGGTGTCCTAGATAGCAGCTCTCTTCTTCACAGAGGGCTGCGGTAGCTCGGTGGTCTGTGGTTGCGTCAGGAAGGGCATCCGGCGTAAAAATAACTGCCAAGTCTTTGCGTGACTTAGTTCGCTGTAGCAACCCAAAGAAGAAGAAATCGCGAACAGCTGTGTGAAATAAAGAAGCCCCGCTCCATTCACTGTTTTCGTAAATTCTTGGGGGTGCACAAAGCTAAACAATTTCAGCCATTATATCAGTTATCGGGATCCCCCCCCCCCCCTTCCAATATTGGTATTGGTGATAACCAAAATTTCCATATAAGTTGAGCTCTGGTAAAAAACACTTTAGGCAAAATATCTCTCAAACCATAGGACAGAATTTAGTGAAACTGCCAGAAATAATCTTGGGTCAGTTCATCTCACAAGATCCACAGAGCATATGAAGGGGCATTAAGTGTATAACAGATTATAAAGGCAGAAGTGAACAATGCCATAGAGACCCATCACTACCTGATGCCCTCAACAGGTTCTACGCACGCTTTGAAGACCCGGACAGACCACCCAGCACCAGACTCACCTCACCATCAGAAGAGCAGTTTCTCAGCGTGACCTCAGCCGAGGTGAGAAGTACTTTCAGGAGGATTAACCCTCACAAAGTAATTGGCCCAGACAACATCCTCAGGAAGTTGCTGAAAGACTGTGGCAATCAGCTCTGCAAGGTGCTTGCCAACATCTTTAACTCCTCATGCACCCTGGTAATAGTTCCCACCTGCCTGAAAACCACCACCATCATCCCAGTCCCAAAGAACTCTACAGTCGCTGGTCTGAATGACTATCAGCCAGTAGCCCTCGCCCCGAGAGTCGCTAAATGCTTTGAAAAACTGTTCATGATCCACATCAAAACAACCATCAACATCAGCGAGGACCCTCACCAGCATGCATACAGTGGGAACTGAACAGAAGATGCCATCTCCTCTGTGGTCCACACTGTGCTCACCCACCTGGAACAGAAGGACTCCTATGTCCATATGCTCTTTGTGAACTTCACGTCTGCCTTCAACACCATGATCCCCCAAACCCTGATGGACAAATTGCTCACACTAGGACTAAACCACTCCATTTGCAACTACTAGACTCCTTAACAAATATACTGCAGTCTGTGAGGATCCACAACTTCTCCTCCTCCACCATAACCCTCAGCATTGGCTTCCCTGAGGGCTGTGTGCTGAGCGCTCTCCTGTTCACTCTGCTCATGTATGATTGTGCAGCTACCCATGCAGGCTGTCATATTGTAAAGTTTACAGATGATACAGCGGTGGTTGAATGCATCAACAACAATGATGAGTCCAGCTACAGGCAAGAGGTGGAACACCTGGAGAGCTGGTGCAAAGAGAACAACCTTCACATCAATGTGAAGAAGGCAAAGGAGATGGTCGTGGACTTCAGAAGGAACAAAAACACCTAACCCCACTGAACATATGAGAATCTGCAGTGGAAGTGGTCTCCAGCTACAAGTACTTGGGTGTGCACCTGAATGACAACCTCAGCTGGAGCAACACCACTACCAGCCTGATCAAGAAAGCTCATCAGAGACTCTACCTCCTCAGGCGGCTGAGGCGAGCTGGTCTGGGAAGCTCAGTCCTCACCTCCTTCTACTGGTGTGCAGTGGAGAGCATCCTGTGCTCCAGCATCAACGTGTGGCATGGAGGCTGCACAGCTGCTGAAAGAAAAGCTTTGCAGAGAGTGGTGAAAGCTGCACAGAAGATGTTGGAGTCAGTCTCCCCGCCATCACAGACGTCTACACATCGCCTGCATCATGAAGGACCCCACTCACCCAGCACACACACTTTTTGTCCCCGCTCCCCTCAGGAAGGAGGTTGAGGAGCATTAAGTGTAGAACCACTAGACTGAGGAACAGCGTCTACCCTGAAGCTGTTAGACTCATGAATCTCTAACCAGAATAATCACTGTGAAAAATCACATCATGAAGCTGCTGATTTATTTCATGTGGCTGTGTTCCTTCGTGCTCATCTGCTCACACAGACTCATGTTCACGCTGCTGTTCGGCATATTGTTTTTGTACTACTAGTGCTTAATGTATTTTTTGTTAACATTTTCTTAGTTCATATCAGATCTTATTACTGTTTTGCTTTTACATTTTATACTTCTGCCACTGCTAAGCAACCTTAGCAAAAACAAATATGTCTAACTCAATAAATTTGACAGATTCTGAGCTAAAGTTTGATGTAATAGTAGCTGAAAGTCATTCTATGTGCATGCCACATGTGGGTGGCGCTCACACAACTGCCATCATGTCACAACAGAGCATGAGATTGTGCATAAAGTCATTTCCAAGTTTTACCACTTAATTAGATTTTTAACTTCTAGGATCCAGCTCTACAGCCACTAACTGTCAGATATACTTCTGTGGGAGAATCCCACCTTTAAAGCTGTGTCCATGAATATGTTTTATTTACAGTTATTAGTTGACTTCCTTTGCTCTTCTATTATACATATACAATGCAGATTAAAAAGTAAATTTTTAAATATTTTTTGGGGGGATTAGACAATAAAATCACCTATTATTGTTAATAGGTAATAATAATAATAATAATAACAATAACAACAACAATAATAATAATAATAAACAATAATGCAGTGTACAAATCTTTTTTATGACATTTTTCCATTTTATTGCAAAGTGACCATTTTGAAGGTTGAGAAAACTGCAGAGTAATGCTTTGTTATCCTGATGCATGCTCAGGATCTGCTCATGTATGACTGTGCACCTACCCATGCAGGCTGTCATATTGTAAAGTTTGTAATGCTTTGTTAATTTCCTGTTTGTTTCATTTTACCACCAAAGACTTCTCAGCAAGCATCAAGATCAACATTTTAGAGTGAGATTAGATAAAGACACAGCTGTTGTTTTTGTTCTTTATAGGTTTTATCCAGTGTTGATTAGTGTTAGATGAACTAGACGTATTTGATGTGAACATACCACTCCTTTCTCCCAGATAACAGACATCCTGTCCTCCACACCGTTCACTCCGTTGGGGATCTTGGTGAAATTATCTTTGCCCAGAGCCTTCTGGCAAACTGAGAAGGTGCAATTGTCTGTTCCCGTCACACTCAGATCATCACTAATACAAACAACAGACAAAAAGGAAGAAAAAAAAAGGGAAAGTTGAGGAAAATTTTATTGAAAAAATAAAAATAAACTTTAAAATGAAGAAAAAGAGAGCTCATTTCACCTACTTGGCCAGTAGGTCCATGAGGTACCCAGGGGTGCTCGGATCCGGTCTGAGAGGAGGACCCATGACAAAGCCTGCAGCATGGGCCCAGTCTTTGTTCCAGTAGTGGGTACCATCAGTGCCCAATCCTGCTGCAATTGGCTCCCCATACACCACATGACCTTTATTAAAAAGAAAAATTAGGAATCACGTGAATCCAACCGAGCAATATTCATTTTCTAAAGAACATTTAACAGGTTAAGTCAGGTCTTCTGGACAGATTCTTCTTGTTGATACATTTTGTCTTTTATCCAAAAGACTTTGTCAGTCTAAGGAGCTGCAACAAACTCAAAGCATTACCTTCTCATAGTGGATCAAACAGTCTGCTGGTAACATCCAGAACTAGCTATTCACATGAAAAAAGGAGGACCACCAGCTTAACCTTGTTAGATGTATCTACCTGAATTTGTCATGATCAGCAGCCCCTGCTGACCCCCCATCAGCCCGTCTCACACTCACAGCCCCATCACGTCATGTTTCTGCTCCTCTTTGTCATCATGCTGTTTTTCTTCTGTCATTAGCCACACCCCCCTCTGCACTTTCAGCTCATCAGCCCTGATTACACTCACCTGTTCAGCTCATCTAGTTCACCTGCTCTGCACCCTTTATAAACTCCATTCTCCCTCTCCACCAGGCTGAATTATTACCCCTTCCATGGTCCCTGATTCTGAAGTCTTTTTGTCATAGTATCTTGTTTCATGCCTTGCATCCTTGCCTTGACCCCTCGCCTGTACCACGGATTCCTTGTTTTGCCTGCCCCTCTTTGGTTTTGGACTATTTGCTCTGACCACGGTAAACGACTCTGCTTTCCCTTCACGACGATTATGGATTACGACTTGGCTCTTGTTTCTGCTCTGTTTCCCCGTGTATGACCTCTGCGTTGTTATATGGACCCTGCTGTTGGACTTGCCACCCCACAAACCACATACAACTGCAGCTGCTCTGCCAGTGACATCATTGCTGACAGGTGACTCTCTCCCTACAACCTGTGAGGACCTGTTAACACAGCTGATCCTGACTTCTCACCCACAGCCAATAATAAAAATTGTTCTTGTTTTTGCACTCCTGTGTCTGGCTATTTTAAATCCAAAAACCCAATCGTGACAGAATTAATGAGCATTCATCAGAACATCTAAACAACAGTTTGTTTGGGGTCTTTCAAGTTCATGTGAGGCCACCATTTTCAAATGTGACATGACGTGGTCAGCACTCACCATCTCTGCGTGCGTTCGCCACCACCTTGGCTGCAGATTTACTCATGACATGGACCACATAGAGCGGACAGTTGACAGCGTGAGCAATGGTAATGGCTCGTTGGGTTGCCTCAGCCTCCACTTCCTCCGGCCGACACAGTTCATGACCTTCGGGCCCTGTGATACCCATGGACAACATCTTCTTGGCCCCCTGTTGGGTCCCAGTGGAGCCAGATACAGCAAAGTGAGATAGTGATTAAGAATGATTGAAGATTTTTCACCACACATAAAACAGAGTGATTCTAAATTGTTTCTAGGTGTGAGTGGGAGAGTGAATGGTTGTTTGTCTCATTTGTCTCTGTGTCCCTGTGATTGAATGGAGACCTGTCGAGGGTGTCCCCTGCCTCTCACACAGTGATAGCTGGACATGGGCACCAGTGACCGCTGCAACCCAAAAAGGAAAAGGCGGGTAAAAGATAATGGATGGATGGATTATGTGTACTCAAAGCGCAAGCCCTGGATTAGTATCATGAATCAAGTTTATTAGGAGCATGGTATTAACAGGACCACGCTGCTGACAGGACCATGCTAACAGGACCACGCTGATAACAGGACCACGCTGCTGACAGGACCAGGCTGCTAACAGGACCGTGCTGATAACAGGACCACGCTGACAACAGGACCAGGCTGCTGACACGACCAGGCTGTTAACAGGACCACGCTGATAACAGGACCATGCTGCTAACAGAACCACACTGCTGACAGGACCACGCTGCTGACAGGACCACGCTGCTGACAGGACCACGCTGCTTACAGGATCGCGCTGCTGACAGGACCCTGCTGCTAACAGGACCATGCTGCTAACAGGACCACGCTGCTAACAGGACCATACTGCTAACAGGACCACACTGCTAACAGGACCACACTGCTGACAGAACCACACTGCTAACAGAACCACACTGCTGACAGGACCACGCTGCTGACAGGACCACGCTGCTGACAGGACCATGCTGCTAACAGGATCGCACTGCTGACAGGACCCTGCTGCTAACAGGACCATGCTGCTAACAGGACCACACTGCTAACAGGACCACACTGCTAACAGGACCATACTGCTAACAGGACCACACTGCTAACAGGACCACACTGCTGACAGTACCATGTTGCCAACAGGACTGCCTGCTAACAGGACCGCCTGCTAACAAGACCATGCTGCTAACAGGTCCACACTGCTAACAAGATCATGCTGCTAATAAGACCACGCTGCTGACAGGATTTTTTAATTTGATTTTTTATTTTATTTTACTGTACTCTATTACTATAATCCCCAATGAGGAAATTAATTATCTGCAATTTTCCCATTGCACATGTGAGCACACACAGGGTGCTGCCATCTAAGGTGCTCGAGGAGCAGCTGGTAGGAGGGCGGGCGTGTTAAGTGCCTTGCTCATGAGCCCAGAGTGGAGCAAATGAGGGTGGAGGCAGGCCATGCTGCTAACATCAACAATGTTTTTATAACACGGTTTCTTCTTTTAATCGCTTTTTATTGTTATATTGTTGTCTGTCTAAAACAGGTCGCTCTTGAAAATGAGTCCTTGTGACTCAATGAGACTAACCTATATAAATAAAGGTTAAATAAAAAATAAATAGCATTTATATGCTGAAGAAAAAAATCAGATGAAAGAGAGTGAAAAGTATGATTATGTTTGATACCACACAAACATAACTTTAGTATAAATCTGAGTGCTCAACAAAAATATGACAGAAATGGTAATACATAACAACACACAAATAACAACAGCTCATCTGATCTTTACCTGATCCTAGTTAATCTAAACCCATATGTTCTAAAACACTCAACAGATTCCATTATTTCAGTATTTATGAATACATCTCATAATTTAATGACGTGAAGAACACTCTTTAGCAGCAGTAACTCCCAGTAATCATTTATTTATGACAGAGTTTCTCACATTGTTGTGGAGGGATGTGGCCCACTCTTCTTTACAGTAATGCTTCCATTATTTGAGGATGATGCTGTTTGTTTCAGCACAGCTCATCAACAGAGTGTTTCAGTCTGGTTGAGGTCTGGACTAGGACCGGACCACTGCAGCATTTGTTTTCTTTTTGTTTCTCAGTCATTCTGTTGTAGATTTTTTTGTTGTGTTTTGTTTCAGACCCAGTTTGGTGCAAGCTTTAGCTGGGGGAGAGATGGTCTCACATCGGACCCTAATTTCCTTTGTTCTACCAAAAAGTTTATGTTCGACTCAATGACAGCTAGAAGTTTAGTTCCCAAATCATCACCTCTCCACGCTGCGCTTTACAATTAGAACGAGTTGTATGCGCTGATATGTGTCCCCCCACTGCCCCTTCAAAAAAAAAAAAAAAACAACTAAACACTGACTGTGTAATTTATGTAAACATCTCTGTTTCTTCACAATGTCCAAAATACATTGAAACAGACTTTTTTTAATTGTCCAATCATAAACTTTCATTTTTAAGCTGCTAACAGATGCCTGCAGATGTTGAGATGGAGCTCTTGTTTTTTTTTTTTGTTTCTCTTTTTCTAATTTTTCGGAGCATTACTTACTAAGAGTAATTCATCAGGAGCTTCCACTTCAGATAAAAAGATGGCAGTTGCCTTAAATGTTTTCAACCTGAGAATCTTTCCCACTGCAGAATGATGGACTCCTAGTAGTTTGGAAATTACCATCAACTCTTTCCAGGTTGATGGTCAGCAGCAATGTATTCACTGAGGTCATTGCTGATGTCTTTCCTCTCTGGCATCGTGTTGATACACACCAGTTTGCTCCAGAGCAGAAAACTGACAAAACGCCTGTTTTTATGGAGGTGGTTCAGTTTATCAAGCAGAGTTGTTCAGCAGCATCTGGCTGTTTTTATCCATCCTAAATCATGTAGAAATCATGTAGAAATACTATATCATGAACAACAACAACAACAACAGATGCTGCTGCTGCTATGAACAACA